TCTGCCACCTGAGTCATCAGCCCATGGCTGGGGTGGGGTGCAAGTCACGGCCCCACCCCTGAAACGCCAACGTGGGAGTACCAGAGCTTGGATCGTGATGTTCTGGGCCTGTTATGGCAGCAAGCCTGACTAGCATTTGCTCAGATCTTTGCAGGGCAGAAAGCCCATACACTGTATGACCTGTTCCTACTTATCCCATTTGCCATCACGGGTTTCTACCACTCTTGCTTCTTATTTTATTTTTTTCAGTTTTATTGAGATATAATTGGCATACCCAAGTCTTTTTTTTTTTTTTTTTAAGTAAACTACATCCATCATGGGGCTCGAACTCAGGACTCTGAGACCAAGAGTTGCACGCTCCACTGAGTAAGCCAGCCGAGTGCCCCCCGGTTTTGCTTCTTTATCATGGAGGATTAGCTGAAGGAGTCAGATGTGGAAGAAAGGAATGAGGGGGGAGGCATTTAGCTATGAATGGGTTGAAGCGTGTGTTCTCTCTAGTACTGCCCTCCGGTGAACCCGACTTGTCCACTAGTTAATCAAGCCAGATAATATCTTGAAGATCTTGAACTATTAATATTTGTGCTGCTCTTTCTCCCACTTCCTTTGCTCCTCCCTAAGGAAGAGGCATCCACGTTGTTTCAGGAGTATGGCAGGTACGGTAAGAATATAAAGGCCAAGGAACAATCAATATCCCCCTTTTGGGGACTCAGCAGGGAAAAGCTAAGGAAGCAGCAGGCTTTACGTCACTCTGAGAAAACTGGAAAGAGGATAGGGAGAGAAGAGGCACCCGTGGGCCCTGCCCAGACGAGGGGAGAGTCCCTGGGGCTGGGGCAGGGAGGGAGGATGAGGCTGGGGGTGACCCGAGAAGAGGTTGTAGAGCAGAGGGTACAAAGTGGGTCAACCCCGGGAGCCCTCCCTGCAAGCAGCCCCACCCAAGGGACAGTGTGAAGCATCTGATATTGGGGTGGGGGGGTGATGTATTAGTTTCCGATGGCTGCCATAAAAATGACCACAAACTAGGTGGCTTGAAACAACAAAAATTTATTCTCTTGCAGTCCTGGGGTCCAGAGTCCAAGATCAAGGTATCAGCAGGCCTTCTCCTCTCTGTGTGTCTCTTCTGCGTCTCTGAATTTCTCTCTCCTTGTAAGAACCCCAGTCGTGGGATTTAGGGCCCACCCTAACCCAATGATGACATCTGTGAAGATCCTATTTCCAAATCAGGTCCCCTTCACAGGTCCTAGGGGGCTAGGATTTGGACATACCTTCTTGGGGGCAACCGTTCAACTCACAACAGGGCCCTTCAGGCAGATGACAAACGTTGATGCCCCGGGGCGCCAAACCCATGATCTGTGGGCACAGCAGCAAGGAGGCCCATGTGGCTGGAGCAAAATGGGCCAGATGGAGAGCAGTAGAGAATGAGGCCATAGAGAAAACACAGGGCCAGATCATGGGAGATTTTGTAGGCCCCTGGTAATTCCTCTGGCTTCTCTCTGAATGAGTTGGAAGCCAGCGGATTCGTTTGAGGGGAGAAAGGCAAAATCTGACTTAAGTCTTAAGATAATAACTCTAGTGGTTCCATGAGACTAGACCGAGGATGAGGAAACAGTTACCATAATCTGGGAGCTTGGGGACAGCGCTCTGGACCAGGACAGAAGCTCTGCACAGGGTTAGAAGTGGTCAGAGCCTGAATCAATTTTCAAGGTAGGATTTGTCAACAGGTTGGATGTGGGGTATGAAAAAGAGGCAGATCGGGGCGCCTGGGTGGCTTAGTCGTTAAGCGTCTGCCTTCGGCTCAGGTCGTGATCCCAGGGTCCTGGGATCGAGCCCCGCATCGGGCTCCCTGCTCAGCGGGAGGCCTGCTTCTCCCTCTCCCACTCCCCCGGCTTGTGTTCCCTCTCTCGCTGTGTCTCTCTCTGTCAAATAAATAAATAAAATCTTTAAAAAAAAAAAAGAAAGAAAGAAAAAGAGGCAGATCGAGGACAATTCTGAGGTTTTGCATCAAACAGCCAGGACAGAGTTGCCATCAGCTGAGATGAGGAAATCCAGGAAGGAGCATGTCTGAGGGAGGGAGAGTAGGAGTTTGGTTTGGGCCCTGACTGGTTTGAAATGCTGCTGAGACTATTCCAGGAAGCCCGCCGATCTATGGGTCTGGAGCTCTGGGAAGAGGTCGGGGCTGGAGTGTGCGTCTGGGAGTCGTCGGCATGTGCTTCCGTGCCAAGCTGTAAGCACAGGGGCTGCACCCGGGCTGGGAGTGTAGAGAGAGAAGAGAAATACCCAAGATCTGGGCCCTGAGGCAGTACAGTGTTTGCAGGTTGGAAGACTGAAAGGGGAAACGGTCACCTAAATTTCCCCCAGGTTTAAATATTTTTATTTGTTATATTTAACTCTACTTATTTAAGTCATCTCTACACCCAACGTGGGGCTTGAACTCGCAACCCCGAGATCAAGAGTCGCATGCTCTACCGACTGAGCCAGCCAGGTGCCCCAACCCATGTTCTATTTAACTCTTTAAATAATTAAGGTTTTATTTTGTGTTATGATGAGAAATATGATTCTCATATTTTGGCTTTCCCCCTCCCCCCAGATAGTCACAGTAGATAACTATTTTATCTAGAAGGACCCTTCCTGGTCTAATCCCTGGCTTGATAATTTTGATTAACTATTCTGCCATGCATCCATGTCTTCACTGGCAACGTTGCAGTCCTGGACCAAAGTGATTCAAGATGACCCATTGAAATCTGCTCTCCGAAGAGCAGCATAGCTCACTTACCAACCTCGAAGGAATGCCATGCAATTAGTGAAATGCAAAACATCAAGGGGACTTCTGAGGTATTTGCTAGATCCAAAGTGAGGCTCTGCTCCCAGGAAAAAGTCTTGCATAGGCAGAGAACAAGTATTTGTGTGATGGACCAATTATTATAGATAGCTCTGACGTTCTTATCCTTTGCGAATAAATAAAAAAGGTTCAGATTTTGAGTCAAGATGTGGATGAAGGAATCACTGCGCTCTTTTTAATGAGCGTCAAAAATTGATTTGTGGGGAAAAAAATCAATTTGTGCTCCTCCGTAAGGGACAGGTTGACGATGAGGCTATTGGCCAGAATCGCAGTGATGTGGTTAATGTAACCCTAATGCATTTCCTTAGTTCAGGGAACAGTCCGTAGACACTAAATGCATTTTATTCTTTGGAATGATTTATTGCATTTATGTGATCCCTTTAGAATTTTTGTGCTTTTGATTGGTTTATTAGAAACATAAAATATTTTGTTATGAAAAATATCTTTTGATATTTTTCCCATTTCTTCAGCTTCCTTTTTTTTATATGAAGGCACTTTTTAAAAAATTGTATCTATATTTATTGAGAAAGATTGCATTCTCAGTTTGAGAATTTTTTTTTTTGAAGATTTTATTTATTTATTTGACAGAGAGATACACAGCAAGAGAGGGAACACAAGCAGGGGGAGTGGGAGAGGGAGAAGCAGGCTTCCAGTGGAGCAGGGACCCCGATGCGGGGCTCGATCCCAGGACCCTGGGATCATGACCTGAGCCGAAGGCAGACACTTAACGACTGAGCCACCCAGAAGCCCCTCAGTTTGAGAATTCAAGAATTACATATTGGGGCGTCTGGGTGGTTCAGTTGGTGGGCAACTGCCTTTGGCTCGGGTCATGATCCTGGAGTCCCGGGATCGAATCCCACGTCAGGCTCCCTGCTCAATGGGGAGTCTGTTTCACCCTCTGACCCTCCCCCCTCTCATGCTTTCTCTCTCTCTCTCAAATAAATAAATAAATAAAAATTTTTAAAAATTACATATTAAATTGTCAGATAACTTATTTGATAGTAAAATTAGGCTTACAATTCGATTTTTATTTATTCAGTGCTAGAATATAGCATTAAACTAAAGCACATTTTATTTGAATATGCTGTGCTGAAAAATGGAGATGTGTTAGCTAGACGATGACTGATTTTCAACATACCCTATGCTACGTTATTCTACTTTAGAAATGAAGGCACTTTTTAGTGTCCATGAATGACAAGGAGATACAACTTAGATTACTGATTTCTGAGATTTATAATGAAAGGAAGATGATTTCTAAAAATCAGTTTACCGTATTAGGAATGTATGTCGTATCTATTGGATGAGCTAGTATTATTTGGAATAAGGAAATGCTGAAGGGTATCTGGTTAAGGCCATGTGGCATTTATAGTTGCAAGATTCCATATCCTGAATCAGATCTTCGTCAACAAATAATGGTAACAGCAAAATATTTGTGAAATTATTTGTGAATCAGCCAAGTTAACAAGGAGCCAAATGATCCTGTAAAGACTTTGACCTTTTAGACAAGCACTATTAAATAATGAACTGTAAAATAGAGATGACCATAATACATGGATGCATAATGATCACAATGTACATATCGTCTTAATAGTCTTGGCATCCATCAGAAAACCTATAACTTCTATGACATCGCAAGAGGCTATTTTGGACTCAGCCCAAAATAATTTAATTAAACTGTGATATTTTACCAGATAAAAACCAAGAGTGAACTACTTTTTATTGCTGCAAGGTATAAACAGAATACATAAGTAGGGATCTGGGGGGATATGCAATTAAATCCCACTTGGCAGGGGGTAGGGGGGAGAGACCTTTGGCCACGAGCAGTTGCAGCATCTGTGAATTTGAAGGTGAACTGACACCATCTTTGGAAGATAAATTTCCTTATCCAGAAATGGCCATGACATCTTGTTGTTGCCCCACAAAATATACAAAAATAAACGATGAGTTATTTCCAACATTTTTTCAACTGAAGTTTTTTTTTTTAATTGTTTTTATGCTGCATATTTTGGTGTTTAGATGAGGAATCAATCTGCTAATTTCTTCTGCTCAGAAGCCTCCAAAAATAATGTGATTTGGGCAAGTGGAGCTAGCTGATTAATGAACATGACCATGCAAAGACAAATAACTGAAGTGTTTGGTTATCATGAAATTGAACTTCAGATAGTTGGAGGAACAATGATAAGATTTTATTTGTCTCAAATATATATACTTTTTTTTGCTGTTTATTTCCAATTAGAAAAACCTTACTTAGTTACCTAGAGCTGAATTTAGTCTATCAAGATCCATCCAATATATGTCCAAGTATTAAAATATTTAGAATTTTAAACATCACCGTTACAAGGTTTGTATTTATATGAACACTTGGTTGTTCTGGGCCAAACGGGGAGTGAAAGCACGAAGTCTCCGCCTCTGGGTGCGCCCTCCCTGTCCCTACAGCCCTGAATTATTCTGTTATTTGATGACTACTGCAGGCAGAGGTCATTCTTCACATGACTTTTTTAATGAATTCGCTGTTTCATGCACATCTGGTTTCAGGTCATGAGACTCTGGCATGAAAGGCTCAGGGCTGAGAGAGGTCCCATCCACACACGTGTGGAGCGTCGTGCAGAAAGACTTGTCCTGCGGGCAGAAGAGGGAGAAGTAGCTTGATTTCAAAGTCCACACACAGCCGAGAGAGAAAGCCTCTGAGTCAGCATTCCTGGATGACCTTTCCCTCTTGCAGCGGTTTGTAATCTTCGAGTCATGGATCCCCCTTTGAAAACCGGTGGGTACTATGGCTCCTTCTCCCAAATAAGTGTGTGTGTGTCAGGTACTCACACATCTCTGCATGCACACACGCACACCCACATTTTCTTCACACCAACCCCAGGAGGTCATGGGCAGCCTAGACATCCTTGGCATCACAATCACATCTTGCCTTAGATGTTGGGGAAAGGAGCTTACTCTTGTCTCTTAAAATGTGGGCCATACCCTTTATATCACTTTTTTTTTTTTCAAGTCAGCTCCATGCCCAATATGGGGCTTGAACTCATGACCCTGAGATCAAGAGTTGTATGTTCTGGGTGCCTGGGTGGTTCAGATGGTTAAGCGTCTGCCTTCGGCTCAGGTCATGATCTCAGGGTCCTGGGATCGAGTCCCGCATCGGGCTTCCTGCTCCTTGGGAGCCTGCTTCTCCCTCTGCCTCTCTCTTTCTCTCTGTCTCTCATGAATAAATAAATAAAATCTTAAGAAAAAAAAAAAAAGAGTTGTATGTTCTACTGAGTGGGCCAGCAGGGCGCCCCTAAATCACTTTTTAAAATAAATGAGTGCTGGGGCACATGGGTGGCTCAGTTGATTAAGAGTCTGCCTTCGGCTCAGGTCATGATCTCAGGGTCCTGGTCAGGTCGGGCTCCCTGCTCAGTGGGCAGTCTGCTTCTCCCTCTCCCTCTTCCCCTCCCCCCTGCTCATGCTCTCCCTCACTCTGTCTCTTTCAAATGAACAAATAAACAATCTTAAAACAAAATAAAATAAGTGAGTGCTGTGCACAAGCCAATTTAGAGGAACTGTACTTGGGGCGCCTGGCTCGCTCAGTCAGAGCGTGTGACTCTTGATCTCACGGTTGTGAGTTCAAGCCTCACTTTGGGGAGAGAGTTTACTTAAAAAAAAATAAATGAATAAAGGACCTGTACTTAATGATGTAACAAAGTCTAGAGCAGTGTCTAGTCTAGACTAACTAGTTGGTTTTCCTCTAGTTACTTGCTTTTGCCCTTCCCCTAAACATTTGTTTGGTGGCTCTGTGGTTCTAGGAACCCCCACAAGGGAGTCAGGAAGCTGGGACTCTAGCCCAAGACTAAGAGGAGGCTCCTTCCCACCTTTGGGCTGCAGTTTCCTCGTCTGTAAAAAAGAAGGGATTTGGATCAGTCAGCAGTTCTCAATGGACCCTTTTTTGGGGTCTGCGAAGTCAAAAACATTTCACAACAAATCTTGTTATTTGCCTTAATCGCTCTCCTCCTGTGGCGAGTGCGCAGTGGGGTTGGGTAGAGGCTGTGTGATCTATGATGATGCTATTGTTCAGACAGCATGTGGGTGTGTGCTTATGTGTTCTTGTGTTTCAAAGACAATGCGATACACGTCAGAAGGCAAAACCCACCTAAACAAAAGCTCTTTGGTTTATTCTCTTAGTTTCCTGAGCTCTAACAAAGTACCACAAACTGGGTGGCTTAAGACAATAGAAATTTATTGTCTTATAGTTCTGGAGGCTAGAAGTCCAAAACCAAAGTGTTTGTAGGGTTGCTTCCTTTAAAAAAAATTTTTTTTAAGATTTTATTTACAAGCAGGCGGAGCAGCAGACAGAGGGAGTGGGAGAAGCAGTCTCCACACTGACAGGGAGCCCGATGTGGGGCTCAATCCCAGGACCCCGGGATCATGACCTGAGCCAAAGGCAGATGCTTAACTGACTGAGCCACCCAGGTGCCCCTTTAAACATTTGTTTTTAAGAGAAAGAGTATGTGCAGGCACGTAAATGTGAGTAGGGGGTTGCAGAGGGAGAGGGAGAGAGAGAATGAGAAGCAGGCTCCACGGTCAGTGCAGAGTGCCACCCAGGGCTCGATCCTACAACCCCAAGACCATGACTTGAGCCAAAATCAAGAGTTGGACACCCAACCGACTGGGCCACCCAGGCCCAGTTTTATTTTATTTTATTTATTTTATTTTTTAAAGATTTTATTTATTTATTTATTTGACAGAGAGAGACACAGTGAGAGAAGGACACAAGCAGGGGGAGTGGGAGAGGGAGAAGCAGGCTTCCTGCGGAGCAGGGAGCCCGATGCGGGGCTTGATCCCAGGACCCTGGGATCATGACCTGAGCTGAAGGCAGAGGCTTAACGACTGAGCCACCCAGGCGCCCCGGCCCAGTTTTATTTTTAAAAAGATTTTATTTTTAAGTAATCTCTACTTTCAACATGGGGCTCAAACTCACAACCCCGAAGTCAAGAGTCACAGGCTCCCCTAACTGAGCTAGCCAGGCACCCTAAGGATTACTTCCTTTTGAGGGTTCCGAAGGAGACTCTGTTCCAGGCCTCCCTCCTAGCTCCTGATGGCTGCTAGCCATCCTTAGCATCCCTTGGCTTGTAGACACATCACTCAGATCTCTGTCCCCATCTTCACATAGCCATCTCCCTGAGTCTCTGTGTCTTTATGTGGCCATCTTCTTATGAGGACATTGGTCATACTGGATTAGGGGCCCACCCTACTCCAGAATGACATTGTCTTAACTCATTACCTCTAAAACAACCTTATTTCCAAACAAGGTCACATTCTGAGGGACTAGGGGTTAGGACTTAAGCATATCTTTTTTGAGGGACACAATATAACCCAAACAGTAATAATATTTAAGATCTTGGGGTGCCTGGGTGGCTCAGTTGGTTTACCGTCTGCCTTCGGCTCAGGTCATGATCCCAGGGTCCTGGGATTCAGCCCTGCATTGGGCTCCCTGCTCACCGGACAGCCTGCTTCTCCCTCTCCCTCAGCCCCTCCCCCTCACTTATGTGCACGCTCTCTCTTAAATAAATAAAATCTTTTTCTTTCTTTCTTTCTTTCTTTCTTTCTTTCTTTCTTTCTTTCTTTCTTTCTTTCTTTCTTTCTTTTCTTTCACAGAGAGAGAGACAGAGAGAGAGGGAACACAAGCAGGGGGGAGTGGGAGAGGGAGAAGCAGGCTTCCCGAGGAGCAGGGAGCCCGATGTGGGACTCAATCCCAGGACCCTGGGATCATGACCTGAGCTGAAGGCAGACGCTTAACTGACTGAGTCACCCAGGCACCCCTAAATAAAATCATTTAAAAAAAAATAATCCTTAAGATCTTGAGACTGGAGTCTGACTAGATGATTTCAAGGGTTCTACCCTGATGAAACACTTTAAGATTCTAAGGTAAATTTTAATGGATTCGGACTTGGCTTCTGTTAACCTTGTATTTTTCTCACCTTGGGTTTCTTGATATTTTTATCTTCACACCACCCTAAGGGGCTAGAAGAGCACTAATGGGCTTGGCGGAATGGGACAACGGCTGTATCATTTTTTGGTTATTTCCGTGAATACCATGCTACTGATTTACAGATGCTTATATTTATCTTCTAACGATCAAAATATCAGTTTATTTTTTAAAAAGATTTTGTTAATTTATTTAGAGAGAGAGAGAACAAGCATGAGCAGCGGGGGAGGGGAGAGAGGCAGAGGAAGAAGCAGACTCCCAACTGAGCAGGGAGCCTGATGAGGGGCTCCATCCCGGGATCCCAAGATCATGACCCAAGCTGTAGGCAGACGCTCAACCGACTAAACCACCTAGGGTGCCCCAAAAATATCAGTTAAAAAAAATGTGATATAAACTGAAGATTTTTGGTTTTGTTTTTAAACTGAAGTTATTGACTGTCAACAGTCCATCCCGGGTAATTGGAAGCAATGACACCAGGGACACATGGGTGGCTAGTTGGTTAAGCATGCAACACTTTTTTTTTTAAGAGAGGGAGAGAGACGGGGAGGGAGGGGCAGAGGGAAAGAAAGAGAGAATTTTTTTTTTTTTTTTTAAGATTTTATTTATTGGGGCGCCTGGGTGGCTCAGTCGGTTAAGCGACTGCCTTCGGCTCGGGTCATGATCCTGGAGTCCCCGGATCAAAGATTTTATTTATTATTTGACAGAGAGAGAATGAGAGAGAGAGAGCACGAGAGGGAAGAGGATCAGAGGGAGAAGCAGACTCCCTGCCGAGCAGGGAGCCCGATGCGGGACTCGATCCCGGGACTCCAGGATCATGACCCGAGCCGAAGACAGTCGCTTAACCGACTGAGCCACCCAGGCGCCCCAGAAAGAGAGAATCTTAAGCAGGCTCCATGCCCAGCACCGAGCCCGATGTGGGGCGTGATCGCATAACCCTGAGATCATGACCTGAGCCGAAATCAAGAGTCGGATGCTCAACCAACTGAGCCACCCAGGTGCCCCAAGTGTCCAACTCTTGATCTCAGCTCAGGTCTTAATCTCAGGGTTGTGAGTTTAAGCCTCCCCGCCCCCCATTCCCCCCAAAAGGAAGTAATGACACCAGAGTCTTTTGAAGGCAGATGAAAAAATTTTCTGCACACTGAACAGGTGTACATTTCAAAGAGTTGTTCCTAAATCTTAAACCCCACTCAGTTCAGCTTTGAGAATATGAGATTCTATGGAAAACAAATGGAACCTTTGTTTACCAAGTAAAGGGCACTTGTCACTTCTTTACTGTTGCTAGCTTTACTCTGCTGGTGGAAAAAAAAATCTTTCAAGTTGAGTGCCAGGGATGGGGCACCTGGTTGGCTCAGTCTGTAGAGCATGTGACTCTTGATCTCGGGGTCATAAGTTCAAGCCCCACATTGGATGTACAGCTTATTTAAAAAGAAAAAAATATGGCAGAGAAAGAGAAAGTGGCTTTTTGTAATGTTATAAGGATACTTGGCTATTATTTTTTTTAAGATTTTATTTTTAAGTAATCTCTACATCCAACGTGGGGCTTGAACTCACAAACCCGAGATCAAGAGTCGCATGTTCCACTGAGTCAGCCAGGTGCCCCACTGGCTACTATTTTTCTTAAAACTTTTAAAAACTTTTCCTTAACAAGCTAAGT